GGTAAGGGGGTTGCCTAAGGTGAGAGCGCACGTAAGGGTAATCAGCAAGAAGCCAATTGGGTAAATTGAGGTTCTGGTGAGCTGCTGTCTTCAGAAAGGGGAGAAAGGGAAAAGTAAGCAACAGTAACAGGGAAAGCGGAAACAACTCTGTGGATACGAGCTTTTGCATCAGCAGTGCTCACTAAAAAGGCTAGTAACACAAGAGCACATACAATCAACCACTGCTTAATGGTGGATGCCCAAGTACTCAGTCCTCAAGAGGAAAGTTTTGTTTGCCACCAGTCCCATTCTTCCCGCTGTTCGCGAATCTGAACTGCAAGTGAGGTCAGCTGTTGGGTGATGGCTGAAACGTTGTTCCACCCGGGCTTGAAACGCAAACAGTATTGGTCCTTAAACCTGGGGTCAAGGTCCTCGAGTGCCATACAAAAGTCCTTCTGCAATATAACCTGTATCATTAGACGATTCTGTTAGGCATAATGAGCTAGTACAGTGAGAGCCAAATCGACTTGTTGAAACCCTTCAGCGGTCAAATTAGTGAGGGCTTCGAGATTGCGGGACATTTGGTAACATATCCCCAAACGAAAGATTCAGTGGCAGACTTAAATTTTTTCCATCTTGATGGTTCTCGTCGGCTCCGGAAGTCAAACAGCCGGTGGGGGGCTCGAATGGGTTGGTACCTGAAAAACAAAAAGGGGACAAACAACGCCCTCAAGGCGGGCTAATTAAGATCGAAGAGAAAGCCAATTGTGATGGACTAACGTAGGTTGTTTGTTGTTTTCGATTTGGACATGATAGGTGTTAGGAAACTGACCGGAATTAAGAATGGCACCTGGGACTGGGTTACGAGATCCTTTGGCATTGGGAATGGTTACCCAGACAAGTTGAGAGTTTGCAAACTGCGGCTTCCATGGTGGCCGGGGCTTAGCTTTAACTTCCGGCCATCTAGAATATGCCTCGTTCAAGGAAATGAGGACTTGGGATAGGACTCTACTCCATCCTTTAAAGTCAGGAGTTCCCAATGCAGCCCGTAGCTGGTTTTTTAACATGCCGATACGTCGTTCCACAACCCCATTGCTTTGTGGGTGATATGGGAGATGGACATGAAGACATATCCCCCACTGAGACACAGCTTGGGCTAGATGTTGGCTGGTAAAAGGTGGTCCCCCATCAGACTGAATTTCCGTGGGTGGACCCCAGGCGGCTATGGCTTGCATGAGTGCTGTGATAACCGCAGGGGCAGTAGTTTTACGTAGGGGGTAGCACAAAAGCTGCCGAGTTCCTAGGTCCACTATTACAAGACCTTTTGGGAACTGTTTGGCTCCTGGGAGGGGACCAATAAGATCGACTTGCCATACTTCCCCTGGAGAGAAATACTGAGGATCATATGCCCCCGTAGTTATTTTATTTCGATTAAGGGCTCGCGCTTGTTGGCAATTGAAGCATCGGCGAACTGCTTCAGTGCATTGCTGTCGGGTAACCTCGGCTTTCTGATTGGACTGCATTGACACTACAGAATGTAAGGCGCGACCAGGTAAGTGACCCCACTGTTCATGTAACCACTGAGTAAAGGGATCAACATCACTAGGTTCTGCATAAAAAACATCACAATGGTCCTTACTTGAACCCTCAAAACTATGGCTTCTAAGTAAAGTATCCAGGTGGGAATGGAGGGGATTACTATCTACACGATGGGAGGGGCAATGAACTACGAACCATGGCTGTTTGGTTCGGGTAGCTAACTCAAATACCTTTTCCCAGATCTCTTCATGGGCTATAGGAGTCCCTTCTCCAGTTAAAATTGAGATGCAGTAACTGGAGTCTAGGCCCAAAACTACTCGACGAGTCGGGTGGATGACTGCGAGATGGGTGGCAGCTAGCAAAACTCCTTGAGCCTCGGCCTTCTGAGCGGAATCGTTCAGGGGTAGAGACTCGGGATAAAAGTAGTCAAATACAGAGCATAACATTCCAGCTCGTGGGTAGGGGAGCTTCCCCCATCGGCCACAATCCATGGCTGATAGCCAGCTACTTCAGCTAAAGCTTCGCTACCAGTTCTTTCAGATCCCTGAGTTTGAAATCGCCAAAGACCTAGGCTTTGTTGGACACCGTACACGAGGCGTTGCCAGGTACTGGCGTTGCCTTGAAAATCAGGAGCTGGAGTAAGTGTAAGCCATGGGATTAACTCTGCATGGGGGCCTTTGAGGAGGCTAGGCTGAGCCATTTCGCCCCAGGGTAAAGCTAACTGAGCTGCTAGCAAAGCTTTACCCACTGCACCATATCGGTGCTCTGGTCCAGACAGCTTCTTTGCTTGGTGGTATACAGGCCGTTCATTTTGGGACACAGAAATGGCTACATGTGTGGCCGTAACTGCAAAAGTTATTACGACTGGAATTGAAGGATTCCATCGATATAGGGTGGGGGCTGACCCTAACCAACGGGATAATGTAGCTACTGCCTCATCTGCCTCTGTAGTCCATGGCCTGCGAGTGTTTTTCGCATAAGCCTGAACTACAGCCAGAGAGCCTAGAAGGTCTGTGGGGAGAAATTGGCGATGGTAATTTACAATACCTAATAGCTGCTGTACCTTCTTTTTAATGGGAACAGATCCTACTTCTGTTGGACTAGTTAGTGGGTGATACATGAGATGTTGGAGGCAACCACTTTCAATTTTAAATCCTAAAAACTGAAATGTTTGAGAGGGTGTGGTAGCACTTTTCTGGTGATTAATGTCCCATCCATCAAAGCTAAGGGCTTCTAAGACACTGTTTGTGACCCGTTGGACATCAAGGGGATCGGACCCACATATCAAAACATCATCAACATAATGAACTGTACGAACTTTAGGGAGAGTTAAAATGGTCTCTAAAGTTTTTGCTAGGGCTGTAGTAGCACATGCTGGGGAGTTACGGTACCCTTGTGGGCAAACGTTCCACTGGTACAGGCCTCCTTCAAAAGCAAAATTTAAAATTCCCTCTGGGTCATGCAGGGGAATTTGAAAGAACATGTCTTTCAAATCTAAAGTGCAGCCCCATTGGTAGTTGTTATTTACCAAAATCTGCTCTATAGAGGGGATGTCCCACTGAGCCGCAAAGGCTAAAGGCTGGATATGACGATTGGCGGCCCGATAATCAATGACCATTCGATACTCATTGGGTTTATGAGGTTTTGGGACTCCCCAGGCAGGTGACAAATATTTACTGATAGGGATTTGCTGGACTTTGCCCTGGCTTAAAAGGTGGTTCAATAGTGTCCTAATACTCAATTGACCTCTTTCAGGTGTGGGGATGGGAGAGAATCGCCATGGGGTAGCATTTAGCAGCACAAGTTGGTGGGGTCGATTGCCTTCTGCAATCACAACAGGCAACGCCTCGACCACCCGCTGTGCCAGTCGGAAGCGGCGTATCTCCCCCACTCCCAAAAGGGGGGTGTTTCCCAGGAGACCAGTAAAGGTAACAGCCTTCCCGTTAAGATGGGCCCGGACTTTAACTTCCGGACGAGCTTCAACGCTATTTAATCCCTGTACAAAGACTATCTTTCCAGTGGGGGTGTGGGGCATATCGGGGGGGATGATGGATACCTGTGCCCCCGTGTCTAACAAAAAGGGGATAATTGTCTCGTTTTCGGTAGTCAGGTTTTGATAGGGTCGAGGGTCATTTAAATCAGGCCAAGTGACCGCTAGGCACTCGGCCTCTCCCCGTTTTTTGGCTGCGGGGGAATAGGGCGATCTTCCCACCCCAATTTCACAGCCAAGTCTTTCTGTTGATCACTATTCATTTTCCTAATAGCTTCCTTGGTGAGTCCCTTACCCAATAAAAATCCAAAAATCTTACGCTCGATGAACGAACGCTCGGGGTATTTGGGTTTGGGCACCATTTTGGACCCTTTCACCAGAGTAGAGGGGGTTGCAAGTAGGGCGGCCTTTAGTGTTGCCCACTTCACCCTCTCTACAGCGTCGTATAGTCGGCCAATAGGTTGTCCTGTGTATCCCCTTAGCCACAGAAGAGCCCCTGTGTCTAGATTAGGGCTGTTGTCCACGGCTAGGGTAACAGCCGCATCTTCTATGGGAATCTGAGTGGGATCATCAACAAAACGAAATGGGTTTTGTGCTACCGTCTGAACGTTAGTTAAGTTGAGGGGGTGTGCAGTGGGATCCCAGAGCAGAATAGAACTCCCAGTGATCGCGTACATAAGGGTAGTGGAGTTATTCACACAATCAGGTGGCATCTGTACTGCGTGAAATCCCCCTTGTATTTGGAGGTGTGCGGCAGCCGCGGCTGTTACAGACCAATGATTATTCGCTGCCAATCCTCCCCCCATAAGGCCCCGCGACCAACTCCCGGTACGGGTTAACGTTAAGGCTTCCTCCCGGTCAACCCAGTCACTCCCCTGTTCCAAGGCTAATCTCCCTACCCAGATTATAGGAGGCTCATCTGGACGTCGGGCAGTATCTGTGATGAACTCCTTCATTTCCGCCTTGGTTCGGGGGCGGGTCTCAGTTACCTGAGAGGTATTCCCCTGACCATCCATTTTTAATCGGGTTACAGTCACAGGGAGGGCCTCCGGTACAATCAGGTCGGGAGCTGTGGGTATGGTTGAACTCAGGGTAGTCAAGCCAGGGTAAATGTTTGGTGGGTCATGAGAGCCTTGGTATGGGGGAGGAAGTTGTGTCTCTAAAGGAGGTGTCTTTGGCGCCTGAGGGGAAAACTCCGGTTCTCCCTCTGACTGTGAGTGCGCCACCCCACGGGCGCAATTTGTAATGGCCCCATGGTAGACGGTAACTTTATCAAGGGCTGCTGCTAGGGTATTGCAGATGGCAGCCAGAACATCCTCTGATTTATAAGAATCGGGGCGTAGTTTTTTAACCTTTTTTATCCCATCTAACCTTTGGACCAATCCTATTAACAGGTGGTGTGCAGGTGATCCATGTGGGGCTCTTGGCTCGGGGGCCAAGATGGAGGGGGCTACCCCACAGAGTTTAATTACCCTGTTCACCTCTTTCCAGAGGCTAAGAGGGTTTGAATTAGGGGCTGTCTCACCCACTTGAGTGAGACACGGTTGAAGGCTATTATCGGCCGGGGTGGCCCTGAAGGTGGGATGGCAAGTTAGCAAGCAGCCCACATCGCTCAACCCCAAAGGAATGGTGTAGGTCCTACAATCATGGCCGTGTCCTATGACACAGACCCAGTCAAAAGTGTTAGGGGCCCCTTCGCGCTGTCGAGTACAGAGGAGGTGGTATTGCAAATGATTAAACTGATCCTCCTCAGAACCTGGGGTCTCAGTTTTAGCCCAGGGGCAACTATCAGAGTTGTCATGGTCTCCGGGGTTCCGGCATCCTGTTCGTGACGCCATGTCAGTCCCCGTAATACACGAGGTTCGAAGGGATGCCGGAAAGGATGAGACTGGGGGTTTTAAAAAGCACAAACTGATTTTATTTTGATGGCGCCAGACAATCATCAGAACAAAAATTAAACAGATTGCCAGACAACACAAAACAATTCCCTGAGGCTTTTCTAAATCACAATAATTCCCAATAACTGCCCAGGGGTTAGGAACAGTTGAATTAACACTGGTATTGTCCATAGGGCTGATTATTTACACAACTTTATACAAGGAAACAGTAAAAACCCTAAACCATAACTATTTATAAACTAACTTAGTAACTTTTTAACCACTGTCACTTGACAAGCAATAAGGACAACTAAAAAATCAATTAGGATAGGATGATGGCCGGAGGGGGAGGGGTGGTTATACCAATTCTGGAGACAGCAGGAACACAAGTACCGGTCACATGCTCATAAACTGTCTCCACTCGGGTCGACCAACTCGGAGTACGCTCAGTAAGACTCAAGAGCGGGGGGTGCAAGGCGTCTGGGTGATCAGGCTAGGCGTTCACTCGATGCAAATCCCCAGTGAGAGAGGGGCTGCCTGCCTGTTTTATTGCCTGTGAACTTATCACCCCATAGGTTGGTTTTTGCTGCAGTGGGTGGAGTAGCAGGCCTGAGCACAAGTCAGCCCATTGGCTGATCTTTCACTGCAATGGGTGGAGCGAGCAGGGGAAGATTATTAATTTACATGCCCTTATATGGAAAACACTCCACCTCACAGACAGAGCCCCCTATACCAGCCTTAGAGGTATTACAGGCTATGGCTCCCTGCGACAGGCAGCCATTGTTGTAGTTCTGACTCGGACATGGACAAGTGCAGAAATCACTTGCCACAGGAGAACCGGCAAGAGTTCAGGGCCTTGACTGACGAGGGCAGGATGGTGGCCCATACGGTCTTGCAGGAGGCACTTGATGCAGCTGACTTGGCAGCCAGGACAATGGCCACAGTTATGGTCATGAGAAGGAGTGTGTGGTTGCAGGTGTCGGGCATCCCTCCCGATGTCCAGACTTCCCTCCAGGATCTCCCTTTTGAGGGAGAAGGTCTTTTCTCGGACCAGAACGACTCTAAATTACATAGCCTGAAGGATTCAGGAGCAACACTTAAATCTTTGGGGATCCACACGCCTGGTCCCGTGAGACGGCCCTCAACCGTAGACCTGCAGGGAGACCATTTCAGTGGGGTTTCACTTCTGACCAGGATAGACGAAGGGGCTGCCCCACTTTACTCTTTGGTAAGAGCCCCATTGCAAGCTGGAGTGGAGGCTGGACAGAGAATGGGGCTGGGGCTGTCGAGCGAGGTGAGGAGGCAGCTGCCTTTTAGCAGCACTTTGGAAACACTCCTCTCCCCCACCCCCTCCAAAGTCCTGCCTCAGTTGCGTTCCAAGGGAGGGAGGTGGGGATGGCCGGGGACTTGCTGTTTCATGGCTCTGCTTGTAGCTGTGGTGAGCTGACACAGAAGGCACATAAGCCTGCCACCTCCCTGTGGACCCCAGGCCAAAAGAAGCAGGCCAAGATCTGGGCCAGCATCTTTTCCCTCCCCAGGTGTCCCGCAGAAGGTGTGGCTTGGGCAAGTCACATGACCTCCCTCCAATAAGAGTGACACACCAAAAGCTGGTGGTGCATCTCTTCTGTTTGTGTGTCCTTCTCTACCCGATATAGGTTGTCTCCCTGAATTTCAAATTGGGAGGCTCTCTCCCATGTCGTGGGGATCCGCGGTCTCCCCATTCACTATGGCCACCTGGCCACTATGGTGTCGTCGGCTCATTGCTCTCCCATAAAGTCTGCTAGTTGAGTCAGGATCGCTGATTAGGGCAATGGGGCTGGTTCTTTCTCTGGCCAGTTGGGGATCTGGTCCATCTGGGCAGATGGTGGGCATTGGGAAGTCCCGACCCCTGGATCTGCAACTTCCCCCACACCCGCAAGAGTTGCTGTTTCCAATCAACTGGCCTCTAGAGGTTGGGGTCAGTGTTCCATGGAAGGGGGTTGCACCTGTTCAGCCAGTAGCTCTCTAAAAACACCCGTACTCCTTACCCAGTATCACTGGGTAGGCAAGGGTTGGGGCCGGGCCAGGCTACCCATCAATGGCTCTTCATGCCTCCCTACCCTTAGAGTCACCTGGGTGCCATTGTAGGCCTTCAGATCCGGGTGGACACAATCAAATGGTGCCTGAGGAGAGCCAGGACTAGGCACCAGAGCTTCCCATACCATAACCTGAGCACAACTGGAGTCAATCAGCTCAACTGCTTCCATCCCATTTACCCACATGGAACAGTCAGTTTTGTAGGGTCCTGAGGGCGTGCCCATGTTTGTGGGGCCCAGCGCTTCCCAAAGTTACATTCCCTATATGGGCAGCCCCTCGACCAATGTCCAAAACCCCAACATGTAAAACACAAGTTCTGACCCTGGGTAGCATTAGGGTTGTCTCCTCTGGGTGCCTGAGGGGATGGGTCTGGGCCAGCTTCCCCAAGTCTGGGGTTCAGTAGAGGCCCAGGCTTTGCATCTGGTGGATGCAGGGTCTCCCGAACAGGGAAACGGGGGGCAAGTCCTGAGCTTAGGAGTTGGGCTATGTGGGTACCCCTGAGCCTGTTAGGGCCCAGGGAGGAGCAGAGGACACCGAGGTCCCCCCCAGACCTGGGGCCCCTGGATAGTTCTGTCTGTCAGGGTCACGGTGCTCTTGGTTGCTCTGGAGCCCGAAGAGGGTGTAATCTCTGTGAACCTGGCTGCCAGATAGTTCTCCATCAGTTGGATGGCAGTGGCCATACTATCGGGGTGATTCTGTACAAACCCTTCCCTCCCCACAGAGGGCAGGATCTGGGTAAACTGTTCAAGTAGGATCTCCTTGGTGACTTGTACCCGTGTCTTTGTCTCTGGCTTCAGCCATCTCCAACAGGCATCGTGCAACTACTGGGCAATGAGGTGGGGTTGGATTCCTGGTGGGTACTGTTCCCCCTGGAAGAGTTGATGGAACATCTCTGCTGAGATGTCTATGGCATCAAGGATCTCTGCCCTGATCTAATCTGGAGCTGCAACAGGATCTAGCATGCAGTATGAAGCCTGGGCTACTTCAGTCAGGTATGGAGCCAGCACGGCCACCCACTGTGCTCAGGTCACTAAGAATTTCAAGAGAAATACAAGTTCCCTGCTCTAAGTAGCCTACAGAATAATGGCCTGATCCTGTAAGATCTGAGCACTCCTGAAAAGGTGGTAAGCACCTTGTACTTTTGCTGTCTTCAGTGGAATTTTGTGGGGTAAGGGGCAGAATTGGACTATTTATTAGGCACGACACAACAATGGTTAGCAATAAATAGAGGGGTATGGAGATGTGGGAGAAAGAAGGGCACAACTAGAAAAGATCCTGAGAAACATTTGCTGTTGAATACGCATCTTGTTAACACCATATTAAAATTTGGGATGCTGTGCTGAATGCAGGTGGGCAATAAAATACCAGCTGGAAGAAATGAGTTCTGAGAGAGGATTTGAAAAAGCGGTGTGGGGAGGAGAAACTGGACCATGCAGAGGGCTTAAAGGACTGTTCTGTAGGCACTGAGAGGGGGAGCGTAGGCACTTTTGGGAAATGACTGGGGAAGCAAAAAATTGAGCTGAATTTATCAATGCAAAGCATTAGTAGGGCTTTAAGGAATCCATAGAAGTGAGGTATGGAGAGGGGCAGAGCTGTGCTACTCATCTAAAAGTGACAAGAAATCATTTGAGACCCATACAAACCAGAGGAAATAAGTTCAGGAGTGGATGGGTATTTAGAGTTAAGTAAGCCAAACACATTTAAGTTTGCAGTGTTGCCTTTAGTATCATTGCTGAGTCATTTCAAATAACTTATTCTTTTAATCTCTTGAAATTTCTTTTGACAGAATCCAACCCGGAGCAAAAGCTAGGAGAACCAGAGGAGGCCATGCAGACTGAGCCAATGATCACAGATAATGCAGAAGCTAAAGAAAAAAGACCATCTCCACAAGATGCTAGGTGTGGTAAATCAGCACATGCTACAAAACCGTCCATAAGCCTACCACAAAGAGATATCTTCAAAGAGGAAAAAATTAGGAGGACCAAAGAAGATTCTATTTGTAATATGGAGACAGAAGGTGATGACACACAGATGAAGAATTCTAAGGAAGAAAATATTTTTTTATTGGATGCCACAAAAGAAGGAAATGTGGGCCGATTTCTTAATGTAAGTAAAAATGGTAAATGTGTGCTATTCGATCACTTCATTTTTTTTTTTAAATTGCTTATTTACTCAAACAGAAGGTATTAATGAGTTTTGCAAAATTCTCTCCTCAAGTTGAGTAGTCTTTGTTTTTATTTTCGGACAGGAAATCAAATAGATGATTGGGGTTCTCTATTTCTTTGCTGAATAGAATTGCCACTGGGTGCTATGCTGGATCAGGGTGTGTGGGCTGGCGGCTTGATGAAATTCCAGATCTCCTTTCAGCCCCCTCTGTTTTCCAAATCCATTTTAAATTGTGGTGTGTGTCAATACAGGGGTATTTTACATAACACACTGAAATTTCCAACCTTACTCCTGATCTATACAGATGGGGAGACTGTCTACTACAGATTCCTTCGCAGGTTTCACACTCAACCTAGCACATGGTAAGAGGGGACTCTGGCTGTTCTAGGCAATGATGTATAGTTAACCACATTGTCCAGGCATACCCAATAAATCTGCTAATTGGTTTAATAATTTTTAAAATGCTCCCAGTGATAAGAGTACTAGAAGTTCTCTTCTGCACAGGCATAGCACTTGCTTTGTTTTCCCGATGAGCATTAGTAGGTATGTCAAGCTGAAATCCGCAAAAACATTGAAATGATGCTCCTTAATATAGAACAGGGAGAATGATAACCTTTCTATCCATGTGCACACACACATGTGTGTCTGTACATGTGCTTAACTTGTCTTGGCAGAATTTGAACTTTTTTTTGTAATTTTGATATGAATTACTATTTAAGCGGTTTTTTTTTTTCATTTTAACTATTTTAATTTCCAGTTATGAG